CCTTCCTGCTTCCTGTTTCCTGCTTCCTGAAGAGACGCAGCAAAAGGAGGAGCCCCGCCCAGTAAGCTTTTCAGCTCCTCGGAGAACACCGTGAGTCCTCTCTTTTTTACACACACACACACACACACACACACACACACACACACACACAGAAACAAAGGGGGGAAGCGCAAGTGCCTCTCTGTGTCTCTGTCTCTCTCTGCAAATGGCAGAAGAGGCTGGGACCTGCAGGGGAAGGATCAAAGAGCCACATGCGACTCCGGAGTCACAGGTTGCTGACCTGTGCCCTAGATAATACACACTCCCATAAAGCAAGAAATCCCCAAGCGTGAGGAGGAAGGGTACTTTTGTCCCACCCTTCCAGAGAAATAAAAGCGGCGGGTCACTCTTTTTGGGGGACAAAAACAAAGAAGAATATAATACCAAAGTGGAAGTACTATAAAGACAGAGCATTGACAAACCACAGAATTGAGAAAACTGTTAAGGGTTTTCTCATTGGACAGAATATTGGGGTGAAATTCGAGAAACTTTAAAGCAGAAATAATTGTTTGCTTTAAGTGTTGGGAAATGGACATTTGCGTACATCTAATGGTGGCATAGAGGTACAGCATTGAGCTTGTTGTGGCTAAAATGGACTTGGCACAATGCCCAGACACAAATAAATACCTAGCTTCTTTGATCTTCAGTCAAGCTTTTAGTTCAACAGAGAACAGCTGGCAATGGAGAAAAATATTTTGGGCTATTCTCTGCTTGGTGGAAGTTATAACTGTTTTGAAATTTGCTGACTATCTTGGATTACAAACATTGATTGAACTTTAAGTTTTGATTTTCTGTGTCTGGATTATTTTTTTACCAGGAGGAGACCAAGGGATTGACTGTAAGATGGTTGGACACTGTGGATTACAAGCATTGATTGGCTGAAATTTTTGGATTCCTGGACAGAAGAGTTGTGACAAAATACCCCTTGTTGGGTGGACACTGTTTAATTACAGCCTTTATTAAAATAAATAAATAAATAATAAAGAAGGAAAGACTTTCTTTGATTATTTTTAAAATGGAGAAACTCCACTCTCATTTAAATTGCAAGCTTATACTGGAAAAGATTTATGAGGTTTCTGAAGAAATATGTGCTATAAGGAAAAGGATTACTACAGAATGAAGAGTCAATGCTACCCCAAACTTTCAAACTGATTTTTAGATCACATCTGTTTATGCTATAAACCAAAACATACCAGAAGAGGAATTAAAGGAAATTAAAGAGGAATTTGTTACAATGAAAGAGATCACCACAGATCTAAGAACAAGAGATTATTCTTTAAACTTTAAAAGTGACTTTCAGATTACACCTGACTACTCTACAAACCAAAATACACTAAAAGATGACTTTATTGAGGATACAGAGGAACTTATTTTATCTTACAAGCATATTATCTATATTTGTGAGGACCAGAAAAAACAAAGATTGAGATTTGAACCTTTATTGCAGCGAGGTTTCAAGAATAAGAGAAATGGAGGTCCAATCCAGACGACAGGAAGCTTATTACTGCCTCAAATATCATCACAAGCAACAAGGAGAGATTTACCGGTTGAAAGGGAAGCATTGTTGTGGAAACCTGCTTGGCAGAAAAAAAAGCCTAGAATAAGACTGAAAAGAGAAATTTAAAATTATATATATTGGATATAAGGCATTTTAGAACTATGGACTGAGTTAAGGATTAAGTTTTTGAATAGAAATAAGAAAAAATGGGTGATTAATGTATGAAAATTACTATATAATGGAATGAAGAAAAGTGAAGATATGTTTTAGATTGAGATTGAATTAATAATTAATTGAATGTGATTTTAATAAGATGATGTGTTTTGTCTGATAATATGGATGATATTAGGTTTGATAATTAATTGGATGAAAACAGAACCTTGTCTAAAGGACTCAAATGATTTAAGGTTGTTATTATTTTATTAATAAAAAAACTGAAGTATTGATGGATTAGATATATATAGGGTAGATTAATATTTTATTTTTATTGGGAGATATTTGTGGAAGAAGAAATAAATAAGATTTATGATGAAATTAAAGAATTAAGATATATTTGGAAGGTATACCTGAACTGATAATGCGTGTATTTGAAGTTAAATTAGATTATGGTCTTGTAATTGCATAATAGGATTAATAGAAATTTAAGGTAGAAATAGACTAGTTTAAATATATAAGCTATTTGAGGGAAATAGAGAGGGAATATTTGATGTACTGATTGAATTACTTATATATGTTTTGTTTTTGGATATTTGATTACCCCAGCCCCATGGTGTGTCTCAAGCACTTTGTATTAATTAAAAAAAATACCCCTTGTTGATGATGGACCTATATTTTGGAATTTATTGGATTACAAAGGCTACACACAAAGACTATAAGAATTATATGAGATGATTTTAAACCTAAATTTAAATTTAAGTTGTATATTATTGTATTGATTATAAGATTGGTCCTGTTAAATAAGACTAGCACCTGGGAAATACAAATAGAGGGAGGAAACCCAAAAAAACCACCCCAAGTATCCACCTCTGAAGCCCCCAATCTGGTACACCAGAGACAAAGAACTAATAACTTCCAGAAGGAAATGCAATTCATATTGCAATCAATTAGAGAGGCAATTGAGTCATATAAAGAAGATTCAAGAAGAAACCATGATGAGACTAAAGAGATTCTGAACAAGATAAATGAGCAAGTTCTTAACTTAAAATCAAAACTAGGGAATCCCCAGAAAATAAATAAACAAGGAACCCAGAAAATAGAAGATAGGCTAGAAGAAACTGATCCAAAGACAGGGGATATAAAGGAAGGAAACTACAGACTGGCACAGACAAAGAAAAATACTGAAGACTTCGAGATAATACTGGAAATGGAAAAGGCATACCATCCCTCAAGATAAGAAAGAAGACTGTACAGAACAGATTATAGAGCCTTCAGAAGAAGCATTAGAAACTGGGAAACAAGAAAAGAAAAGAGAGGCTGAGGGGGAAAAAACTTGGAGCTTTTCAATGAATATGATTGGATTGAACTCCCCCTCAGAAATATCATATTTAAATGGCTTTCCCCACTACAAAGAATACCCATAAAATCAGAGGAAAAATTTGATGATTTAAATACACAGATTTGGAAACCTATCTGGCAAAGGAAAAAAGTTAGAGTTAGATTAAAGAAAATAGAGGACTTGATCTATTGGATGGGCCCTATATTATCAAATAGATATTTGAATAGATAACCTTTAGATACTAAAAGATCATCATATTTAGAAAGATTTGATTTATACTTAGGATGGTGTACTTTTCTATGAGATGGGAAACATGAAAATAACAGGATGGCTCTCAACAAGGGAAGGTTTTACTCACCTTAATGTAATCACTGCTGAAAAAATCGTTAATTTATAAAGATATTTTGAATACTGAAGGGAAAACAAAATTGAAATAAGAGTTGGGAAAACAGGGTATTGGCTAAATAAGGTGACTTTAATTGCAAATAAAATTGAGATATGAACTGGACAGAAAATATGTTATAATCTAGAACTATTGTTAGTAGATACAATATTAGAAAAATATGATGAAGAAGCATATATTTAATGTTATATGTATGTTATATGTATTGATAGCAGAAAGAATTGCATTTGTTTAGTGTTTGAAAAGTGAAGAAACATTACTTGAAGAGGGGATTAAGAAAATGCCAGAATGTGTAGAAATTGACAGAGCGATATTGAAGAACAAAGAAAAAAAAGACATAGAATAATTTTAATATGTATTGTTAAATAAAAAATGAACCCAGGCAACACGTTGTTTACTAAGCACCTATGATTTGTAAAAATAGAAAATCAATAAAATTCTATTAAAAAAAGAAGACCCTAAACAACTTTTCTAACAAACATATACCGGGGTATTTAAGTTGTAATAGAGGTCCCCCAGTTGTGCCTTTAATGGGATTTGACTTTATAGGATCTCATTTGGAATCAGTTCTTTGATGGATGTATTCTTGCATATTGCTCACATTCTTCTGTTCATCAAGCATTTGTCATTCCACTTTGGTGCTGCTGTACTACCTAATAGCCATGTATTACTTCTGTATCTATTTTGCTTGTGTTTCTACCCTATGGATAGTTCTTGTTTGGTGATTGTTTCATTTAGCAACCATTTGCAGTTAATAACTATCATTGAAAAAGTAACTTTATGACCAAATCTCTCATTTACAACTTCTACAATTCTATAAAGCAAAGGAAAGTTGAAATAAGATTATAGTCCTCGACTTACAACCATTTGTTTAGTGACTGTTCGAAGTTACAGCAGTACTGAAAAAAGTGACATGATTATTTTTCACACTTATGATTGTTGCAGCATCCTCATGGTGATATGATTAAAATTTGGATGCTTGGTAATTGGTATGTATTTATGATGGTTGCAGTGTCCCAGGGTCATGTGATCACCTTTTGCACCTTCTGACAATTAAAGTTAATGGGGAAACCAGATTCACCTAACAACCGTATTACTAATTTAATAATTGCAGTGATTCATTTAACAACCATGGCAAGAAAGGTCATAAAATAGGGTAAAATTCACTTAACAACTATCTTGCTTAGCAATAGAAACTTTATATTTCATTTATAATTTTTTATAGCATATTGGGTTTATTGTATTCCAGCTGGTTCATCTTAGGGACTCTTTGCATGAGAGACATCAGAGAATTACTTTAATTATGGAAATAAGTAATGAACTAATTTATTAATCGATTATTAATGATTTCAAGGAGCTTGGATAAAAATGAGGAAAGAACATAGAATAAGAGTTGGAAGGGACCACAGAGGTCTTCTAGTCCAACCCCCTGCTTGAGCAGGAGACCCTATACAATTTCAAACAAATGTTGTCCAGTCTCTTTTTGAAAGCCTTCAGTGATGGAGCACCCACAATTTCTGAAGGCAAGCTATTTCATTGGTTGATTGCTCTCACTGTTAGGAGATTTTTCTTTAGCTCCAGGTTGCTTCTCTCCTTGGTTAGTTTACAACCATTGTTTCTTGTTTTGCCTGGTACCAAAGAGAATGGAAAGGAATCCATTCTCTTTGGTATCATCTTCCGGTGAGAGAGACAGATGGAATAAAAGTTGAGAAATCACATAGACATCACTTCTCCTTCTTATTTTTATTGCTGCTTGGTGGATTGTGCAGAAATGCAGAAAAAAGATTAACATCGTCCTGAAGTAATAGAATTTAGATGGCTCTAAGAATTGGGAATGAACTGCTACTTGGATGACAGCTTCCAAAAGTCCAGCTGCTAATAGGAATAAAATAATAGAGTTTTGTAGTACTAAAAGACTGAAAAGTATTTATAATCACATGAACTTACATTGACATTTAATGAGGTAGACTTTGCTCCACATATGCTTAAGTCATAAAAATATGTTGGTATTTAAGGTGCTATTAGGAAACATATTCCTTCTTTTCATTTCTTTCTACTTCTGATTAGCGAGATTGACCTTTCTTTGTTAAATAATATAATAAACAGAAGGCTTCAAATCACTTCCTAGATGTGTTTGGATAGATTTCAAAATAATGTTATTTTATTTTATATTATTTTTATTTTATTTTATTTTTAAATGTGTTTTAGATAGAAATTGAGGGTGACATGATAGGCACAAAAATTCAGCAGTGTTTTTATTTCCCAGTTTTGCTAATACAGTAGCATAATCATCAAGGGAAATTTAAAATTGAAAAACGTCATATCACAATTTATAAAAGACTCCCTAAGGTAGTGCTCTAGAAATTTCTTCCAGCAGCCCACTCTTTATGTTGTTGTACAGTGTTGACTATTGCAAGATACTATATTCAGCAATATAGAAGTTGCTCGTGCCCTTGGGGTGCTATATCATGTTCTAATAGAGTTATGCAACAGTATATGAAACCTAGTGTCAGACTTAAAATAAGCAGCATGCTTTCATAGCTCAAAGAATTACTTTAAACTAAAGGCATACATCTGTATATCTTACATCCAGTGCTTTTTTTCTAAAAAAAAAAAAAAAAAAAGGTGCCAGAACTCACACGTCATACAACCCACCTTGCCTACCCTACAAGGTTCACCCTCCTGGCCACTCTGCTCTCAGCCATCCTGCCTATTTGTGGGAGGGGCATACTCAGCACAGCAGCGAAATTGGCAATGTTGGTAAAGCAACACCCTAAATTCAGCCTGGACCTGGTTGATTGATTGAGCGAAGTGAAGGCACAGAGGGAGGCAGGCAGTGCAAGTCCCCCGTACATGATACCATGGTTTTTTCCCCGTGGATTTTTGCTGCCAGAGTATTTAACTTTCTTAAACATTTACTTGATGCAGAATGTGGATTTTCCCTGTTCAGCAAAACACTGAAAAAGGCTTCGGAAGAATCTTTTCGTGATTCTGCTGCTGCTACTGCTCCCAGTTTTCCAAAGGGGCATCTCTGCAGGGATCTCCCTCCTGCGGCGGCCCCCTCCTTGAAGTCGTGCCTGCAAGCAGATGGCTCCTGAGCAGCAGCAGTGCCCAGCGCTCCCACCGCCTCCCCAAGTTTTCATGCCAGGCTTTGTGTCATGACTACAGCCCCTGCTCTATCTGCCGTAAGAAGAACCACCGCCCAGCTGCCCTCATTTCCCTCAAACATTTTTCACTAACCTGCTTTCCAGCTCCATCGCATTTCTCTGTCTCCGTCAAGTTTTTCTGCCACCACATGCTGGGAAACAAAAGACGTTTGTGGGACTACCGGTAAAAAAAAAGTTCAATCAGACTTTCCAACTTCTCATGAAAAAAAAATGGAGAAGGGAGCCACAGGGTGATGCAGGGTGGCAAGAAAATGCTCTTCTTTGCTCTGAATCGCTGCGCAGAGCCGGCCCTCCCCATTCTCTGTTCTCCAGTGGTGGATGGTTGGTGGAGGGAGGCAGCAGGGGAGTGGGGCAGCTCCATCCCCCTCCCCCACCTGTCTCGCCTCGTGGTGGCAGTGGTATGACACGCGCTTTGGTGCCCCATTGTGGCAGTGAGGTGGAACAAGAGTGGATAGGATCTTAACTAGGGGTTATTTTTTGGGTAGGGCATATATTAGGCACACCCCGCAAAATCAGGCTAGGGCTTATTTTTGGGATAGGGCTTATTTTGGGGGTAGGTCTTATTTTCAGGGAAACACAGTATTTAGAAACTTTCCGATGAATTATATTTAAGCCAAAAACATATGAATATTGCTTAGACATTAAAAATATTTAAACTCTAAATGGTGTGATAGAAAAAGAATGCTTATAAGCAAAGTTTTTTTTCAAAATGTTCATTGTTTCATATAATTGAGATTTTTGTGCTGTAAAAATGTCAATCTACTTTCAGAGAAAAATTAATATGGACAGGTTTCTATTATCTGTAAATACACCATAATTGTTTTTATACAGATGATGCTCTGGTAAGCAACTGTACCTAGCTGACCTTGGCTGATCCTGAAAAGCTAAGAGGATTTGGATGGAGAATCTCAAGAAAATGCCAGTGTAGACCTGACTAGATAGTATAAGGGGGGGGGGAACATGCTAGAAGAGAATGGTAAGCCACTTCCATGATGTCGCCTTTAACATTCTGACCATTGCTTCATATTGTTCTGTTTTTTAGTTAGATAAGTTAACAATGAATCCTGAAGCATCTTAGAAGTCAGCAGGATTACTCCTACATAGATAGGCACAAGACTGGAAATATAAAAGAACCCTGTAATTGAACAAAACTCAAAACTGCAAACAAAACAAGAGAAGAACATGAGACAGTTGACCTGCACAATGATATATAGCCAACAGTGTTTTTGCCTCAGATCATTATAGCAGGGGTATCAAACTCAATTTCATTGAGGGCCGCAGTATTTTGGTTGCTCTTGGGGGACCGGGTGAGTGTGGCTGGGATGGGTATGGCCTACTGGGTGGGTGTGGCTGGGGTAGGTGTAGCCTACTGGGTGGGCGTGGTCAGCTCAACATCGCTCGTGCCAGGGGCGCCTGTGTGGGCCTGGGCAGGACTGGGGCGAATCAGGGTGTCTCTGGGGGAGGAGGGTGGGACTAGGGTGAGCGCCAAGGCATGGTCCACTGGAGGAGCCTCACCGTCCCTCCCAGGCTGTGCAGAGGAGTCCACAGACGGTAGTGCAGGCTACCAAAAGCCCTGGGCAGCGGAGGTCAAGCGCCCAGCCATTGAGTTCAGGGATCCCACAGCCTAGCCTAGCCTAGCCCCACTTCCTCAAGGGTCGCCCAGCTGTGCTTATCTCCTCCTCGAGGTTGCTGCTGCTGTGCTCGCTCTCCTTGGCCAGGTTGCTCATGGTGGGGGCAGGAGGGCAAAGGGAGGAGACCCAGCTTTGTAACCAAAGCATCCTCAGCAATAGGATGGGAGACCACCAGGGGATGGGGAAAGGGCAGCAGGGCTACTGGTGGCCAAGTGCTAAGGCAGGACTTCCCTCAAACCCTCCCTTCCTCTAATGCCAATCTCCTTCCTTCCTCCCTCCCTCCCTCCCTCCTTTTCCTTCCTGTCTCCCTCTTTCCTTCTTTCCTGTTTCCCTCCCCTCCTTCCCTCTCTGTGCCCAGGAAGGATGAGGGGAGGGGGAGTAGCTGGCAGCATTTCCCTCAAAGAATAACAGTTGGAAGAGACCTTTGAGGTCTTCTACTCCAATCCCTCCTCAAGCAGGAGACCTATACCATTCCAGACAATGGAATATCCAATCTCTTCTTAAAAGCCTCCAGTGACGGAGCATCCACAACTTCTGAAGGCAAGCCTTTTCACTAATTAGTTGTTTTCACAAGTCCTTAGTTCTAGGCTGGTTTTCTTCTTGATTAGCTTTCATGTATTTTTGCCTTCTGATGCTTTGGAAAATATGTTGACCCCTTCTTCTCTGTGGCAGCCTGTCAAATATTGGAACACTGTTATCATTTCACCACCCCTAGTCCTTTTCATTAGGCTAGACATACCCAATTCCCACAAACATTTGTCATATGTTTTAGTCTCCAGCCTCCTAATCATCTTTACCATCCATTAACAGTGGCCACGAGCAGAGCCTTCTCAGGGACAGCACTCCAATTATAGAACTTTCTCCCAAGGAAAATATGAACAGTGCATCCCTCACCCATTTAGAGGCAACTCCAAACACACTGTACAGCCAGGCATATGTAGAACAACAACATTTTATGGTCAAACAGCACTAAGTAAATTACTACTAATTTTTTTTCTTTCTTAAAATACACACTTTTAATATTGTTTTAAGCAGTGCTGGTGATGCTTTGCAATAGTTGTCTTTGAGAGTTTTCTTGTAAACCACCCTGGATTTCTCTGAAACATTTAATTTTGAATTAGACGTTTATTTAATAAATTAGGCAGAAGGCACAGGGGGGACACGCTGCCAAAAACAGTGGAGTCTGTGTGTGTGCCTGCCTTGCCCACATCAGCTGTGCTCTCCATGGCACACTACAGCTGATCCAAGGCGGCTGGCCAGACACCAAAGCACTGCCAAAAATAGCAGAATCTGTGTCTGTGTCTGCTATGCACTCACCCATCACGCTGCGAGGCTCATTGTGCCAATTGCGCCAGTTCTGCAGCTCATGGCTGCAGGCTTTGAGGCTGATCCGGTGCAACGAGCCTCAAGGCCTGCAGCCATGACTGACGGTAGCGGCACAATTGGCATGACGAGCTTCGTGGCGTGACGGGTGAGTGTGTAGCAGGCGCAGGTGCAGACTCAGACCCTGCTGGTTTTGGCAGCACTTCAGTGTCTGGCCCGCCGCCTCAGAAGCTGTAGCATGCTGTGGAGAGCATGGCTGATGTCGGTAAGACAGGTGCGCACATAGATTCCGCTGTTTTCAGCAGAGCTATGGTGCCTGGCCCTCAAAGTGGAGCCGGGCGTGGTAAGGCATGGCCCACCAAAGCAGAGCCAGATGAGGAGAGGCCCAGTAAAGCGGGTCATGGCCAGGAGGGGCATGATGGGGTGAGGCAAATGAGCTGCAGCTGCAAATGAGTTGCAGCTGCTCCACCATCCCCCGAGCACTTGCCATTTCCTGTGTGTGCACCGGGAAGGTGCCCAGCCGGGTTGGGGTAGGCCAGGTCTGGGGCAGCAGGGGCCAGTCCCTTGCCATTTCTGGAACAGCCCCAGGGCCAAATCTGGACCGTTCGCAGGCCGGCCCCGGCCCGCGGGCCGTGTGTTTGACATGTCTGCATTATAGTCTTACCACTGGAATGAAATATGAAATAATAAAAATATTGTATTTATATATGCTAAAATTCCCATGGAATAAATATTTATGGGAATAAATGAAAATATTATTGAACAGTAGTTGATTTAAGCATTTCATCAGTTTAATCACTGAAAATGGTAATGATTTTTTCCCTGCAACCAATTCATAATGAACTCCATTCTTTATTACTTGATAGCGCAGCTCAGAATAAAGATTACAGTTCTGAACTGACTAAGATAAATGGAGCTATATTTGGTATGCCTTAATCACAAAAAGGCTCTGGATAAATATGTGGCTCAAATATGAACATCTCTCATTTTGGTAGATGTATACAGTATATTTTACAACTTCCAGTGGTATAGATACTGTGGATATTTTCAAAGCCACAGTTTTCAAAACAATACATTGAAAACATATTACTTGTGCCATGGTCGCTATTTAGAGGAAACCAATATAATTAGTGGCACTTAGAAAAAGCATTTATGTTGTTGCAAGGACTAGGACAACTGTAATGAAAGAGTATGAATAGACCACCAGCAAACAAAGGATAATGGCATTTTCTATACCCCGAAGGCCTTCTGCATTGCTTGGTTGTGCTGAAGTTTCCCAGTACACTCAGTGCAGACTATTTTTAACTTGATGGGTGAATATGACCTTAGAGTTGACATGCTATAGAATCATGTTTAAATGCATAATCATGCATTCTTTAATGCTCTCTTTGATTCTAAAGAATGCTGGCAACTACAGGTTTCCTCTTTAGGGGAAAAACACTATTGCATTAATATATTGTACAAATTCTTCAAGTTCTTGGTTGAAGTAGGAAAAGATAAATTCTTTTATTTAAAATTATGATCCTGATTTTAATCCCTTTGAGAGTAAGAAATTATTGCCCACATATAACTTTGTAGCATATTAAGCTAAATTCAAAGTTTATAAGTGTCTGGTCCCCATAGATCCCTATCGGGACACTGCCATTCTGGTGGGAGGGGGAACCTCGGGGCATTTCTATGATGTATCCATTTTACTTTGTTCCTCTTTTGCTTTGATGTATCTTCCTGGGAAATGAGAGGGGGAGGGATGACCAGTAGCCATCTGCTTTGTCACATCTCTGGAGAACCATGGTCAGAACGCCTGAGAACAACTTATCATCTTCTCAGCTCAGAGTTCTCACAACACCTTCGCACCTCTGGATTGGGTCTCTATGGACTGGGCAGTTGGGAAGGGTTTTGAACAATGGCGTTTAACCTAACGTTTTTGCGCAGGAACTTTATACTCTGCCTGCTTTCTCTGCAATCACTATCTCTCAATAAAAGATCCTTTTGAAATGCTGTCTGTTTCAAGAGTTTGTATTTTGCTCTGTCTGTTTCAAGAGTTTGTATTTTGCTCTGGGAGGTCAGGGGGGGAGCGGGGAGGGGGGAGGGGGGTGGGGGTGGATGGGTTGAAGTTTAAATAGTTCAGATAAAGTAGAAATAGTCTTATTGTATATAATATTAATGTTTTAATTTTG